TTGGTAAGTTATTTATCCATTAACCGAGACGGTAAAATGTTTAAAAAAAATGGATTTTTTAATTTTTAATTAATCATATTCTGGACTGAAATTTTTTAGACAACCCATTTAAAATATATTCATTAAGATATTTCATTTGATATAAAATATTTTTCATCCACTAACCAGTTCGGTGAAAGTCGTTTAGTACTCGGATCCTTTACTAATACAGATAAGTCTTAAGTTTGATACACAAGGTACGCTTTTATTTTATAATTTTTGAGACAACAGATTTAATAACCTGGTAAATTATCACTATTTATCCCACATATTCTAGTCAAAATTATTTTTTATTTAACGTTATAAGTTATAATTTGATTCGTACAGTACACTCTTACTTAGCTATGATATTTTATATGAAAATTATTAACACGTATTCATTTTAAAGGTTTTTGTACACGACATGTTTCGAAACATCATCGTATTGAGACATACATAAATTTCACCTGTTTTTATATTAAGTAGCTTACTTAGTTCAAAGAATACAGTTACTAAATTCGAATCTATTTAAAATAACTTGCGGTTTTATTGGGAAATAAATGTTTAATGTAGGATAGTTATTTCTGACTTTTATTCCTGATAAACATAATAGACCCTTAATGCTGTTGATTACTTTATTTTAGCTATGTTGTGATATCGTATTTTTCTTTTTGGTTTCTTACTTTACCACTCTCATAAACAAAGTAAGTGGCGCCCTTTTCACTGTCTTTGACCATACCTATTTGAATTCTTCAATAAAACATCAATATTAAAATCTCTGCAGCCTATATATTATCATTTTTTTTATTTGAATATTTAACAACATTAGAAAGTCACTGTGAGTCAGAAGCCTTACCTACGAATCCAGCTTTCCTCTAACCCTGAGCAACGATTTTTTTTTTCATTCTATTTGGGTAACGACAGAAAAATCGTCACACATAAAAGAATAAAGTATATGACGCCCTGTAACGTGGGGTTCAGCTTAATTTGATTGACTCAGCTTAATTTGATTGACCCAGCTTAATTTGATTGACTCAGCTTAATTTGATTGACTCAGCTTAATTTGATTGACTCAGCTTAATTTGATTGACTCAGCTTAATTTGATTGACTCAGCTTAATTTGATTGGTTCAGCTTAATTTGATTGGCTCATGTTCTATTTAATTGGATCAACTTAGTTTATTTTGTTTGACTTTTATTGGTAAACTTAATTTAGTAAAATAATTTCTATTAGGCTCAGATAAATTTTCTTTAAGGCAAAGACTATAGTTTTGAAATTTTGTTTTCATTATTTCTGTAATTTAATTTTTATAATTTCAGTACAACAGCAATTTTTGTTTTTTATGTTATAGAGGGTGTTTGTTTATCGGTTTAAAACTCAGAGATAAATAACTTGATACTTCTGACTACATAGTTTATTGAAATTTTGATCTTGATATAAATATACAGGTAAGGTTATATTTTGAATATACAGAGTGGACATAATTTTAGTATACAGGGTAGCGTTGTTAGTACTTCGTAAAATTTTGGAATTTGTTTTGAATATTTGAGTCTTTTTTGGTTTTGACATTGAACATAATTTCTTTCTGATAGATTGCGTCGAGTCATAACAGCTTTTTGTTAAAATTAGTAAACAGGCTAATACTTAATATTAGTATGAAACAAAAAAATATTTTATAGCAAAATTAAAATTTATTTATAGCCATGATTAATAAATGTAATATTATTTTTTCATTTTTATAGATTTTGTACAAAAAATCGATGGATGTATACAGTTTCATGGCAGTACATCTATCCTTTTGATGAATATTACTAATAATGCATCAGGACTTAAAATATATCTAAAATTTTATTTGTTATGGTTAAATATATTTTTACTGCTTCAAAAGTAGTAAAGAAATATTATTATTATTCATCACTCTTCTCTTGATTGTCTTATTGATATAATTGTATAATTTTTAACCCTTTATCGTTATCCTTAGAATTTTCATAAGAGACTTAGAAATAAGAATATTCAGCACAATTATAGCATAATTAATAAATGTAATATTATTTTTTTCATTTTTATATATTTTGTACAACAAGATACAATGATTAAATATATTTTTACTGCTTAACAAGCAGCAAGGAAATATTATTATTCATCGCTCTTCTCTTGACAGTCTTATTGATAAAACTGTATAATTTTTAATCCTTTATCGTTATCCTTAGAATTCTCATAAGAGACATAATATTTAGCCCAATAATTGCTCCCGTGACTGTTTCAATAGAAAGCAGCCTACAGGATGAGTATTGCCAAGGCTTGTTTTGAGACCGAATATTTTGGAAATTTCTGAAATTTCCTGCAAAATTCGAATGGAAATATTTGCTACCAACATCACTAATTATATCACTATAAATTTTAACGAGAAGTTCTCGGAATACAATTCGAATACAATACTACCCTGTATATATTTTTTATAATGCCTATAAAAAAGATTGGAGTAAAAGTTTGAAATAAGAAACCCAATATCTTTGTATCAGTTTCTCATATTCCTTTCTTACCTTAGGCACATCGATATATTCTGCTAATTTCAACCCTATGTTTTTCTCGACATCTTTCTCCTCCAATAAAATTAATACCTCATCATCGATCTCGAATCTCGATCTCAAAAAATAAATTGTCTTCCTCAAAATAAATATTTTTATATGTGTTTTCTGTTTAATATCCAATTTTATTTAGTTTAGTAAAAGTCTGTTAAATATGTATAGGTAAATATACTTTCATGTAGTTTCTATGTTTATGAAATGTCTCTTCGTGGACCATGACCACGTTTTAAGTCGAAAAAATAAATAAATAAAACATCGGATAACACACTATTCCAGCATCCTACACGATATTCTAGAGACAAATTCTTTAGGACAAAAAGAAGAAAACGTAATATTATAACGGTTATAACCTATAATTTAACCTCCTGAAAATGAGTGATATTAATAATACACACACAGCACGTAAAGACCACCTAAAAAAGAGACCTGGGTCACCTCTTATATAATTCTGATGTTTGGCCATCATTCTGGTTCTGCTTGATCCGATTAAAAGTATTTTTTTTTATTATTGTAAAACAATTTTATTAAATTAATTAAATGTTTATTAACAGGCTAATACTTAATATTAGTATGAAACAAAAAAAAATATTTTATAGCAAAATTAAAATTTATTTATAGCCATGATTAATAAATGTAATATTATTTTTTCATTTTTATAGATTTTGTACAACAAATCGATGGATGTATACAGTTTCATGGCAGTACATCTATCCTTTTGATGAATATTACTAATAATGCATCAGGACTTAAAATATATCTAAAATTTTATTTGTTATGGTTAAATATATTTTACTGCTTCAAAAGTAGTAAAGAAATATTATTATTTATTCATCACTCTTCTCTTGATTGTCTTATTGATATAATTGTATAATTTTTAACCCTTTATCGTTATCCTTAGAATTTTCATAAGAGACTTAGAAATACGAATATTCAGCACAATTATAGCATAATTAATAAATGTAATATTATTTTTTTCATTTTTATATATTTTGTACAACAAATCGATTGATGTATACAGTTTCATGGCAGTACATCTATCCTTTTGATGAATATTACTAATAATGCATCAGGACTTAAAATATATCTAAAATTTTATTTGTTATGGTTAAATATATTTTACTGCTTCAAAAGTAGTAAAGAAATATTATTATTCATCACTCTTCTCTTGATTGTCTTATTGATATAATTGTATAATTTTTAACCCTTTATCCTTAGAATTTTCATAAGAGACTTACGCCCAGTTTCATAATACAACCCTTAAAGTCACTTTAGTTAAAGTCCACTTTAAGTTAAAGTCCACTTTAAATTCAAATAGGTTTCATAATCAATTGGCCTGGTTACTTTAACTAAAGTGAAAATTGCCTATCAAATTTATTTTGGTACCACTGAAATACACGATCTGGCTGTCAAAAAGTTTCATGGCAGTACATCTATCCTTTTGATGAATGTTACTAATAATGCATCAGGACTTACAGTCCATCGAATTTGTTATGATTAAATATATTTTTACACTGCTTAACAAGCAGCAAAGAAATATTATTATTCATCGCTCTTCTCTTGACAGTCTTAATGATAAAATTGTATAATTTTTAATCCTTTATCGTTATCCTTAGAATTCTCATAAGAGACATAATATTTAGCACAATAATTGCTCCCGTGACTGTTTCAATAGAAAGCAGCCTACAGGATGAGTCTTGCCAAGGCTGTTGGTTTGTGTAGAAACCCATGTAGAAAGTGTCGCTCACTTGAATTTACATAATCTCCAATGGCATTCCTGTTCCTGTGCAGTGATTGTCTAGAACATTTTCTTATTTGCTTGGTAATGTTTTCACAGTCGCTGTGCTTATATTTGTGATAGTAATCTCACCTTCCTTCTTTCCTGTTGATCCCAAACAGACAGTAGTGAGACAAAAACGTTTTTGCCCTCGGATGACACAAGTGTTCAGCAACTGATTGACGATAAATGAAGAAAACTACCAACAATTTTAGACCCTAAGTTAGCAAACATCGAACATGTTTATATGATTTGAATGAATTGAATTTGTATTTTTTTAAATAATAAGGCTAGGATAAAATGGGTTAGGTTAGGTTAGGTTGTCTGTTGCATGGAGTGAGTAATATCGTATGACAAGATAAATCCACATACTTTGAGGATTTTGCTGAATCTCTTCTTCAAATCTTTAATTCTCTCAACCACAGACAAACATACAAATTATCTTCAAGTCAGACCAATCAATTAGTTGATGGTATTAGATGATATATTGTTTTTGTTGCGATACCGCTAATATTTTTTGGATTTTACCTATAGTTAATATTCGTTGGATTTTAATCACCTGTTGGATTTTCTCCCATTACAATTACATCATTACAAACACAACAACAAAATACACTTACTTTACATTGTAACAATTGATAGCAGTCAAGCCACATATTGTGGCTGCGGCTACGAGAGTGACAGCTTCTACTGGAGCAGGACAATCACCCCAGAACGGCTGAAGAATGTACTGAGCAAATGTCATCGATGTTATGGCATTTCCAGTAGGTACCAGAATAAAAAGGGCCACCCATAGATACAGGAAAGCTGGCAAAGGGCCAAAAGCTTCACTAATATAGGCATAATCTCCCCCAGATTTAGGTATCATAGTACCTGGAACAACAAAAAAATATATAAAAATAAAACATATAATTTAGCTGTGGTTTCAGAATTATTTTATTAAGTGTTATTAATTATCGAGTATTAGTATTTTTCATTAAGATAGTACGTTATTATTAAAGGACTTTTATCTAAGACTCATTCACTAGGAAGCGAAATTTGGACCGATGCCTATGTAGCTTACAGAAGTCTAAATACATTACATGGAGTTTCACAGTAGAAACATAAAACTGTGAACCATAGCAGAAATTTTGTCGATCCGGAAATTGGAGTTAATACAAATTATGTAAAGCTACAAAAGTTTCACTGATATAGGTCGAGTATTAGTATTTTTCATTATGATAGTACGTTATTACTAAAGGACTTTTATTTAAGACTCATTCACTAGGAAGCGAAATTTGGACTGATGCCTATGTAGCTTACAGAAGTCTAAATACATTACATGGAGTTTCACCGTACACACATAAAACGGTGAACCATAGCAGAAATTTTGTCGATCCGCAAAAGGAGTTAATACAAATTATGTAAAGCTACAAAAGCTTCACTGATATAGGTCGAGTATTAGTATTTTTCATTATGATAGTACGTTATTACTAAAGGACTTTTATTTAAGACTCATTCACTAGGAAGCGCAATTTGGACTGATGCCTATCTAGCTTACAGAAGTCTAAATACATTACATGGAGTTTCACCGTACACACATAAAACGGTGAACCATAGCAGAAATTTTGTCGATCCGGAAACAGGAGTTAATACAAATTATGTAAAGCTACAAAAGCTTCACTGATATAGGTCGAGTATTAGTATTTTTCATTATGATAGTACGTTATTACTAAAGGACTTTTATTTAAGACTCATTCACTAGGAAGCGAAATTTGGACTGATGCCTATATAGCTTACAAAAGTCTAAATACATTACATGGAGTTTCACCGTACACACATAAAACGGTGAACCATAGCAGAAATTTACCAAATAGAACAAGGTCAAGAAAATCCTAATCCAGGAGAAAATATCATTGAGGGCGAAGGGCATAATGAAAATAATAACTTTCCAGATGTCATTGCAAGGAACAATGATCGTAAACACAAAAATCCATTCGAAGAAATTCTCCCAATTCCTCGCATAGAACCAGGACCAAGTAACAACAGAGGTCACCGAAAGCAACATGCTGAAGTGCTAACATCACCGGAAACAATTACCGTGAAAAGAGCAAAGAAAGAAGAAACAATAAAGAAATTAAAAGAAGAAAGCAGCAAGAAAACAGAAAGAAGAAAGAGCGACAAAGTCTAAAAATAAAGTGGAAAGTAAGAAATTAAATAATAGGTTAACACTTGCAAAGAAAAAGCCTGGAAAAAGCGCAAAAGTTCAGAGAAAGAAAACTGTTTCAACGGGAATGAATTACAGCTCTAGTTCATCAGACACCGAGACAGAGGTAGAATTAAAGGAAAGCGATGATTCAGAACTCGAATTTGATGAATCAGATTTTTGTGCAAGCTGTAAAGGATGTTATATGGACAAAAAAGGTCCCAAGTGTGATTGGATTCAATGTGTAATTTGTTCGAAATGGGTCCTCCATCTCGAAATCTGCACTCCATCTGATAGATTCTGCGACGACTGCATCCCGTTATCCGAGTTTTGAAATGATTTGTTGTTTTTTGTTGATTAAAATACATATTCTTTATTTTTTGGAAAATAAAAGCTATTTTTTGTAAATTTGTCTACTTTTTGTTAAAAATATAATTTCTAATTATGAATTAATGTTGCCCTATTACCCCAAGCTATATGCCATATTACCCGTACCCACGGGTAATATGGCAATGAAGTATCATTCAACATTTCTATGTGTAACATTTTTATCAGTGGAAATACGGCAACGAGATATTTACAGTGACTAGCTATAAAGGCACGGTCTTAGGTGTCACTTTCATATTGCGGCTGAGTCGCTTGTTTGTTAGAATGTGATCCTATGAAATTTATGTTGCCATATTTCCCCGCTTTATTCTATAGGTCGAGTATTAGTATTTTTCATATAAGTTTCACCGTACACACATAAAACGGTGAACCATAGCAGAAATTTTGTCGGTCCGCAAAAGGAGTTAATACAAATTATGTAAAGCTACAAAAGCTTCACTGATATAGGTCGAGTATTAGTATTTTTCATTATGATAGTAGGTTATTTCTAAAGGACTTTTATTTAAGACTCATTCACTAGGAAGCGAAATTTGGACTGATGCCTATGTAGCTTACAGAAGTCTAAATACATTACATGGAGTTTCACCGTACACACATAAAACGGTGAATCATAGCAGAAATTTTGTCGATCCGGAAACGGGAGTTAACACAAATTATGTAAAGCTACAAAAGCTTCACTGATATAGGTCGAGTATTAGTATTTTTCATTATGATAGTAGGTTATTTCTAAAGGACTTTTATTTAAGACTAATTCACTAGGAAGCGAAATTTGGACTGATGCCTATGTAGCTTACAGAAGTCTAAATACATTACATGGAGTTTCACCGTACACACATAAAACGGTGAACCATAGCAGGAATTTTGTCGATCCGGAAACGGGAGTTAACACAAATTATGTAAAGCTACAAAAGCTTCACTGATATAGGTCGAGTATTAGTATTTTTCATTATGATAGTAGGTTATTTCTAAAGGACTTTTATTTAAGACTCATTCACTAGGAAGCGAAATTTGGACTGATGCCTATGTAGCTTACAGAAGTCTAAAACATTACATGGAGTTTCACCGTACACACATAAAACGGTGAACCATAGCAGAAATTTTGTCGATCCGGAAACGGGAGTTAACACAAATTATGTAAAGCTACAAAAGCTTCACTGATATAGGTCGAGTATTAGTATTTTTCATTATGATAGTAGGTTATTTCTAAAGGACTTTTATTTAAGACTCATTCACTAGGAAGCGAAATTTGGACTGATGCCTATGTAGCTTACAGAAGTCTAAATACATTACATGGAGTTTCACCGTACACACATAAAACGGTGAACCATAGCAGAAATTTTGTCGATCCGAAAACGGGAGTTAACACAAATTATGTAAAGCTACAAAAGCTTCACTGATATAGGTCGAGTATTAGTATTTTTCATTATGATAGTAGGTTATTTCTAAAGGACTTTTATTTAAGACTAATTCACTAGGAAGCGAAATTTGGACTGATGCCTATGTAGCTTACAGAAGTCTAAATACATTACATGGAGTTTCACCGTACACACATAAAACGGTGAACCATAGCAGGAATTTTGTCGATCCGGAAACGGGAGTTAACACAAATTATGTAAAGCTACAAAAGCTTCACTGATATAGGTCGAGTATTAGTATTTTTCATTATGATAGTAGGTTATTTCTAAAGGACTTTTATTTAAGACTCATTCACTAGGAAGCGAAATTTGGACTGATGCCTATGTAGCTTACAGAAGTCTAAATACATTACATGGAGTTTCACCGTACACACATAAAACGGTGAACCATAGCAGAAATTTTGTCGATCCGGAAACGGGAGTTAACACAAATTATGTAAAGCTACAAAAAGCTTCACTGATATAGGTCAGTATTAGTATTTTCATTATGATAGTAGGTTATTTCTAAAGGACTTTTATTTAAGACTCATTCACTAGGAAGCGAAATTTGGACTGATGCCTATGTAGCTTACAGAAGTCTAAATACATTACATGGAGTTTCACCGTACACACATAAAACGGTGAACCATAGCAGAAATTTTGTCGATCCGGAAACGGGAGTTAACACAAATTATGTAAAGCTACAAAAGCTTCACTGATATAGGTCGAGTATTAGTATTTTTCATTATGATAGTAGGTTATTTCTAAAGGACTTTTATTTAAGACTCATTCACTAGGAAGCGAAATTTGGACTGATGCCTATGTAGCTTACAGAAGTCTAAATACATTACATGGAGTTTCACCGTACACACATAAAACGGTGAACCATAGCAGAAATTTTGTCGATCCGGAAACGGGAGTTAACACAAATTATGTAAAGCTACAAAAGCTTCACTGATATAGGTCGAGTATTAGTATTTTTCATTATGATAGTAGGTTATTTCTAAAGGACTTTTATTTAAGACTCATTCACTAGGAAGCGAAATTTGGACTGATGCCTATGTAGCTTACAGAAGTCTAAATACATTACATGGAGTTTCACCGTACACACATAAAACGGTGAACCATAGCAGAAATTTTGTCGATCCGGAAACGGGAGTTAACACAAATTATGTAAAGCTACAAAAGCTTCACTGATATAGGTCGAGTATTAGTATTTTTCATTATGATAGTAGGTTATTTCTAAAGGACTTTTATTTAAGACTCATTCACTAGGAAGCGAAATTTGGACTGATGCCTATGTAGCTTACAGAAGTCTAAATACATTACATGGAGTTTCACCGTACACACATAAAACGGTGAACCATGGCAGAAATTTTGTCGATCCGGAAACGGGAGTTAACACAAATTATGTAAAGCTACAAAAGCTTCACTGATATAGGTCGAGTATTAGTATTTTTCATTAAGATAGTATGTCATTACTAAAGGACTTTTATTTAAGACTCATTCACTAGGAAGCGAAATTTGGATTGATGCCTATGTAGCTTACAGAAGTCTAAATATATTACATGGATTTTCACCGTACACACATAAAACGGTGAACCATAGCAGAAATTTTGTCGATCCGGAAATGGGAGTTAACACAAATTATGTAAAGCTACAAAAGCTTCACTGATATAGGTTGAGTATTAGTATTTTTCATTATGATAGTAGGTTATTTCTAAAGGACTTTTATTTAAGACTCATTCACTAGGAAGCGAAATTTGGACTGATGCCTATGTAGCTTACAGAAGTCTAAATATATTACATGGATTTTCACCGTACACACATAAAACGGTGAACCATAGCAGAAATTTTGTCGATCCGGAAATGGGAGTTAACACAAATTATGTAAAGCTACAAAAGCTTCACTGATATAGGTTGAGTATTAGTATTTTTCATTATGATAGTAGGTTATTTCTAAAGGACTTTTATTTAAGACTCATTCACTAGGAAGCGAAATTTGGACTGATGCCTATGTAGCTTACAGAAGTCTAAATACATTACATGGAGTTTCACCGTACACACATAAAACGGTGAACCATAGCAGAAATTTTGTCGATCCGGAAACGGGAGTTAACACAAATTATGTAAAGCTACAAAAGCTTCACTGATATAGGTCGAGTATTAGTATTTTTTCATTAAGATAGTATGTTATTACTAAAGGATTTTATTTAAGACTCATTCACTAGGAAGCGAAATTTGGACTGATGCCTATGTAGCTTACAGAAGTCTAAATACATTACATGGAGTTTCACCGTACACACATAAAACGGTGAACCATAGCAGAAATTTTGTCGATCCGGAAACGGGAGTTAACACAAATTATGTAAAGCTACAAAAGCTTCACTGATATAGGTCGAGTATTAGTATTTTTCATTAAGATAGTATGTTATTACTAAAGGACTTTTATTTAAGACTCATTCACTAGGAAGCGAAATTTGGATTGATGCCTATGTAGCTTACAGAAGTCTAAATACATTACATGGATTTTCACCGTACTCACATAAAACGGTGAACCATAGCAGCAATTTTGTTGATCCGGAAATGGGAGTTAACACAAATTATGTAAAGCTACAAAAGCTTTACTGATATAGGTTGAGTATTAGTATTTTTCATTATGATAGTACGTATTACTAAAGGACTTTTATTTAAGACTCATTCACTAGGAAGCGAAATTTGGACTGATACCTATGTAGCTTACAGAAGTCTAAATACATTACATGGATTTTCACCGTACACACATAAAACGGTGAACCTTAGCAGAAATTTTGTCGATCCGGAAATGGGAGTTAACACAAATTATGTAAAGCTAAAAAAGCTTCACTGATATAGGTCGAGTATTAGTATTTTTCATTATGATAGTACGTTATTACTAAAGGACTTTTATTTAAGACTCATTCACTAGGAAGCGAAATTTCGACTGATGCCTATGTAGCTTACAGAAGTCTAACATTACATGGAGTTTCACCGTCATGCTGGATGTTACAGCAAAGAGAGGTGTTATAGTTTTTTTTACAAAACCGTACAAGACAGTCAATACTTGCACAAATTGAGAAATACATATTATTTGGAAAAGGCGATTCTTTGAGCCATGTATTCACCGTACACACATAAAACGGTGAACCATAGCAGAAATTTTGTCGATCCGGAAACGGGAGTTAATACAAATTATGTAAAGCTAAAAAAGCTTCACTGATATAGGTCGAGTATTAGTATTTTTCATTAAGATAGTATGTTATTACTAAAGGACTTTTATTTAAGACTCATTTACTAGAAAGCGAAATTTGGACTGATGCCTATGTAGCTTACAGAAGTCTAAATACATTACATGGATTTTCACCGTACACACATAAAACGGTAATAAAAACTATAGTAATACATAATACGGTAATAAAACGGATAGCAGAAATTTTGTCGATCCGGAAATGGGAGTTAACACAAATTATGTAAAGCTACAAAAGCTTCACTGATATAAGTCGAGTATAAGTATTTTTCATTATGATAGTACGTTATTTCTAAAGAACTTTTATTTAAGACTCATTCACTAGAAAGCGAAATTTGGACTGATGCCTATGTAGCTTACAGAAGTCTAACATTACATCGAGTTTTACCGTCATGCTGGATGTTACAGCAAAGAGAGGCGTTATAGTTTTTTTTACAAAACCGTACAAGACAGTCAATACTTGCACAAATTGAGAAATACATATTATTTGGAAAAGGCGATTCTTTGGCCATGTATTCATGGCTTCACATGCAACAGACGCAAAGTCGGTTAGATTGTCCTGAGACAATCATTCTTTTCACAAATGAGAGTGTCTCTAAAACATTGTCTTTATATGATGTACCACTGAAGTTGTTTATCACCACTAATATGATTCTTATTAAATAAAAGGCCAGGAACGACGGTACTACAACAGTACAGTTTTTTTCGGGACATTGCATCATGGAAATTGGTAAACGATTCAAATGAGTACAAATTTGGTGGCGTTGGGCATATAATACAAATAGATGAGAGTGTCGTTACAAAACGGAAATATGAAGTTAGTAGAATTGTACCACAAATGTGATGGGTGTTAGGCATGCTAGATGTCACAGCAAAGAGAGGCGTTATAGTTTTTTTACAAAACCGTACAAGACAGTCAATACTTGCGCAAATTGAAAAATACATATTATTTGAAAAACGCGATTCTTTGAGCCATGTATTCAGATGCAACAGACGCAAAGTCGGTTACATTGTCCTAATACATTCACTCTTTTCACAAAGGAGAGTGTCTCTAAAAGATTGTCTTTATATGATGTACCACTGGAGTTGTTTATCACCACTAAGATTAACATTATCCTTATTAAATAAAAGGCCAGGAACAACGGTACTACAACAGTACAGGTTTTTTCGGGACATTGCATCATGGAAATTGGTAAACGATCCGAATGAGTACAAATTTGGTGGCTTTGGGCATATAATACAAATAGATGAGAGTGTCGATACAAAACGGAAATATGAAGCTGGTAGAATTGTACCACAAAAGTGGCTGTTAGGCATGCTGGATGTCACAGAAAAGAGGGGCATTATAGTTTTTTACAAGATCGTACAAGGCAGTCAATACTTGTACAAACTGAGAAATACATATTACAAGGAAAAGAGGATCTTTGGGCTATGTATTCAGATGCAACAGACGCAAAGTCGGTTACATTGTTCTGATACAATCATTCTTTTCACAAATGAAAGTGTCTCTAAAAGATTGTTTTTATATGATGTACCACTGGAGTTGTTTATCGCTACTCAGAGTAACATTATTCTGATTAAATATATATATAAGGCCAGAAAAAAATTAGCAAACATGTACAATGCGCAGGCCGAAGATAACTTAAAAGTAAAAAAATCGTATTTTCGCTTCGTTTTTAATCATAACTTCAATTTCGGATTCGGTTCGCTTCGGGTAGATGTATGCTCTACATGTCTTAAGGTCGATTTATAAACTGAAAACGGTGCGGTTCGACGTTGCGGTTGCGATTATTTCTATTGGCTATTATTAACGTTTCAAGGTCAACGTTCCTGTCGAAGTTAAAAATTGATTAATTTTTGACGTAAAACGTCAACCGCAACAACAACCGAAAAATTTATAATTAACAAAACATCCTGCGTATAAACAAACTTCTTACCGACCGTAACGTCGGGCGTCGAACCGCAACGTTTTCAGTTTATACATCGACCTTTAAACTCACAGAGAAAATAAAGCATTATTAAAAGAAAACGAACCGGGATGTTTAACGCTCTCTTTTGATTGCCAGAAAAATTTGCCCAATCCAAAAATTCCCGACCAGGAAGCTTACTACCGGTGTCAACTTTACCTGTACAATTTTTCTATTGTTGTTGGAAGTATTAAATGCAAAATGTCCCAAAATAACTGCTTCAGCTACGTTTGGACCGAAGGAAATTACTGAAAGGGCTCAAATGAAGTATCTTGATGCGTGTATCATTGTCTTCAGAACATTGATTTGTCAGCGGTTAAAAAAATAAAACTGTTTGCCGACGGATGCGGTGGCCAAAATAAAAATAAAAATGGTTGTTGAAAGCTCCTAAAAATGTTAAGGAAGTTGAGTTGATCTTCCCAGTACGAGGACATTCCTTCCACCTGATCGTTTATTTGGCCTTTGTAAAAAAGAGTTTAAAAAGCAAGAAGTAATTGAAAACCCCCAGAGCTACATCGACATAATCGGAAAATATGCTACCCTTAGACAGCTGGGAATTGATGTAGAGGTTTTTGACTGGAAGCAAGAAGCAACGGATCATCTTAAACCCATTTCGAACTGGCATTTTAAATTTAAACCTTGCAAAAGGTACTTTTTTAAACGTTCCACCAATTTAAGTAAGATGATCTTAGTTCAAGCGGAAGAGTTTTACTATCATAGTTGTGGAAATTTCAAATCGCTTATGAAAAGCAAAAAAAAAACGTCTTGGCCATTAATCCATCAGTTGTCCCAAAAAACAATGTTTCTGTTAACACCAAAAAAATAGCACACGTAAAGAGGCTCCTAGAATTGCATTACGGTTCAGAGTGGCCTTCAAACCCTTCTCTGCAGTTTTACGTGCATTTTTTCGCTTCTTGTGAAAGACGTCTTGCCGAAGGTCATCAGGAATCCGAACTAGAAATGGATTTATGTGGACCGACCGAAGAGGCTCCCGAGTTATGTTTTTGATAATTATTATAAATAAATAATTTCAAATTTCATTCTTTAAAAAAATTGTTTTTATATCAAAACAAATAAAATCCATATGATTGATATGCAAAACCTGTAAAGTCCAGAATTAAGAAGCAAAACCGATAAAATCCGTCTTTAAAATCTAAATAAGGGCTGTTAGGATATAGTGACAACGTTGTGCACTTGAATCCACATTATATTTTAGGTTTAAAATATTTTTAAACCAAGTTTCAATTTTAATATAATAATTTGTAGCGACAACAGTTTTTTGCCCTTTTTTCATAACTTGTATCAGTGGACTTAACGCATTTTGCTTGTAACGAGAATTATTTGGTATTATTGTTGTTATTATTTTATTTACTATTGTTAAATACGGTGAATGCGCTGGGCAAGTGCGAGGGAACCATTAAGGTTTATACCCCGCAAAAAATGTGGTATTCTATTAAAAGATAGGTAGGTTTTTACTGCCGTATGAATATTCGCAGTTTGATGGCCGATCAAATAGCCACGAGGGTGTTAGTGAATAATATAATAAATATATTAGTGAGCTGTATCCCGGTATTAGGTGAGATTTTCTGTTTGCTAATCGCAAATTACCTGTTACCATAATTAAGGGATTTTTTGTATTAGATCGAGCCTGAAGCACTAGACTGAATAAAGCTGAGTCTGATCGTCTACACATTATTTTCCATCTCTAATTAAACCCCCACAATCCTTCCCATTACATGCTTTTAGGCACCTCAGATATTTGTTTAATTTTTTTACCGAAATGGGAATACATTTCTGATATACATATTTTTACATTAGTTTAGTATGAACCATGTCAAAAAAAGGAAATTAGAAGAACCGCAGGCTATTGTTGAGCAGACAGCGGTTTTACTAATGTAAAACCATCAAGGACCCGAGCCAGAGCAGATTATTTTGCATTTAGATTCTAAGACAATTGATGAAAGTCAGACTGTTTTACAGGATGACCAGGGCAATAATATACCCATAATAATTATAAGCAATCAAGATAATCCAAAAAGCATTGCAACAGCAACAGAAACTCTGACTAGTTCCGGGTATGTTACAGGCTCAGAAGATGAAAATTTATACTCTGCCTTGTCAGAATTCAATATTATTGATTTCTTAAAATCAGATATCATTGGACAAGCAATCCTTGTTTAAGTCTAAGAAACAATCACTTTCAAATCTTGACAGGGATCGTCTTGCTGAACTCTTAATTAAACATTTAATTAATAAATACACACGTTTGCAAGTCCGAACTTACTGATGACGCTCTAACTGGCACCCTACAACTAATGACTGTTCCACTATTCGAGAAGTGGTTGGCACACT